AGGAACTCAATGTGCTCTGCGCTCCTCCCAGGATCTTCCATCCACCTGTGGATACAGCTGGCTGAGAGCCACACAGGGCTGCTCCCGCTGAGGAAACAGGACCCCCCCCCCCCCCCCCCCCCCCGCCTCCCTATCAGAGTCTCATGTTGTGAACTGTGATGTTCGTGCTTATATGTTTGAGGCGTTTTTTTGCGTAGTAGAGCTACGCCCTGCCGGGAGTAACTCTTGTATGCCTTTTTTTCCCTCCCCGAACTCTCCTCATGTAATCCCCTTTTCATCTAATTGAAATGAGCGCCGTTATGGCTGCTCTCGTGGTCTGCCTGTATCTGTTCTGTCTACATGTGTGTGTGTAACCTTGGTCAGGCTGTTCTGTGAAGTCAAGTTCCTATGCTCTGGTTCGCTGGAGCGCTGGCAATAAAGCTTTCTCTGATTCTCTGATTCTGATTCTCTGATTAAAGCGCATCAGAAGTAGGCGCTGAAAGCGCCCGTCACTAAGACTGTTGCGTTTTGGGGTGAGCACAAGACTGCCAAGACTAAAAAGTCTTTCTACGCGCTGGATGGCGTTGGTGCATTGTAGCGGAGTGCGATTTCTTTAATTCTTGGAAAATGATGAAGACTTTCCATCACAGGAGCAGAATTCAAGTAAGATGTTACCTCTGTTTCCACTGACATGAGTGCATCAGCTGAGACACTTCCCTGGTCATCAAAGGAGACAAAGTCCTGCTCACTTGGGGCAAAAGCAGCAGATTGAGAAGGACCGGGCATCGGGGCTGCAAGTTCCTCTGTTGTTAAGGTTGGTTAACAACCACGTCCCTCCACCGCGCCTCCGCATGGCCCAAAATTTCTGCACCGCGCACCTAGGAAATTTTCTAACCACGCGGACGGTTGGTCGTGGAAAAACATGGCGGACCGGCAAGAACTAGTATGGCAGAGTTTTGTAAATACAGACATTTGTATGATTCAGCTTTCAAAGATCACCATGATCAACATGTTGTTAATAATTCTTGGAGAGAAATAGCTCGCACTGTCGGAAAAGACGAGGACGCTGTTAAAAATGCTGGAATGCCATGTTGTAAACAGTAATTTTTACTTCTACTACAGTTTAGTGTTGGATTCATGCCATAGAGCTCCATGCTGCCCCGTTCAGTTTGGGAGAATATTGGCTCACCGCAGAGACAAGCCGCATGAACCATAAACGCTGCAAGTTTTGAAGTGCGTTCCATCCCCGAGCCGTATCACCAAGCGGAAAGTGAATGCGTCAAGCATAAACCAAGCTTTAGTGTGTGACACTCAGCTGTAAGAAGGAGAGTGATGTGGTCTCTTTTGTTCTCTTCTTTTACCCAGCGCAACTTAAACATGGGCAATGAGACAGAAGCCAGTAGGGCAGGGGTGTCAAACTCAAACTCACACGGGGCCGAAATGAAACTCTGGGACGGAGTCGAGGGCCAAACTTAATATTTTTTGAAAAAGTGACGGCAAATTTGCACATTTTATTTATCAACATATATGCAATTTTGAACCTTTAAATTTGGAAACAAACTTATTTCTGCATTAACACTCAATGTGGAATAACCAAATTACACACGAGCAAGTCCGTTTTAAATAAAAGGCATCAGTGGTATTCATTACTTGTGGTATAATCAGCATTTTTAAAATCTATTCAGGATTTATGTTTTCTTGTTTATTTGTTTTTCTTATTTTTTATTCTCCTTTTTTTCTCCTGTAATTGTCATCACTGCTGTGACGTCTAGCTTTCCCCACTGTGGAACAATAAAGGGATTTTCTATTCTATTCATCTATCTGCAGCCTTTCCACTTCCTGTTTACTGTAGGTTAAAGCTTTTCTCACGGGCCAACTACAAAATAAAAATATCGTTTTATCTTAAATGAAAATGCAACATCTCACCTGATAACTTTCATGTTTTGGAGCAGAAAAAGAGCATAAAACCAACATATTTAAAGCTCAGTTTGCTCCACTGGTTTACTGTGATGCTCACCTGTTCCAGCCAGATACCTGCATCATGGGGTTGATCTGAGCTGAGGAGGAGACTCCTGTTGTTTTGTTCATCTTCATCATAATAATGACAACATTAGATGGCAACAGCTGCTCACATAGGTTTGTGCTGCTGAACATGTCTGAGCAACTTGACCACGTTGTGTGTCGGGGAGGAAACACAACCACAGAGCCATACTGGTTTGAGCGTGTCGCTGCTCGCTGGAGTTATATCAGCTCTGTCTGGACGTTAGTTGGAAAACTTTCTCTTTAAGTCGTGAACACGTTACTGAGCGGCTAGAATCTCCGTTTCTAGGCTTCAACATCAGAAAACAGCTGAGTGAACTCGGCGCTGAGTGAGAGGAGTGTAGTTTGTCCGAGACAGCGGAGCTGCAGACACCCAACTACCCCTGACTGCCTCGGGCTGGAAAAAACACAAAGGAGGGGGCGCGTCGCCTCCGCGCTGACGCTGCAAAGCATCATGGGAGTTGAAGTCTTTGCGGTAAAATCGGCCAGCGGGCCAGTTTTAATATATTTTTTATATTTATCTCGCGGGCCACATAAAAATGCTCCGCGGGCCGCATCTGGCCCGCTGGCCTTGACTCTGACATATGTGCAGTAGGGCATCCTTAGAATCAATCACTGAAGCAAATCTAAATTTGATTGCTCCCACAATAATCTCAGGCAGCCCAGTGGTCATTGCTGATGAGGCATTTTTCATTGCCAAGGTTTTAGCCATAATAACCTCTAGTGTTGGTTGAAGCATGCCATAAAAACAAGTTTCCTCTCCCTGTAGGATGTCCAGTGCAATAGAAAAAGGCTTCATAATGGCACAGTATTCCTTAATTAACTGGTATTCCCTGTCGTTCATACATTTAATCTGAAACTTTTTGCAGAGATCATTAATGTCATTGAGAGGCATTTCTGTGATTCTTGCATAGGCATCATAAAATGAGTTCCACCGTGTCACTGTGGGGACAATCAACTTTTTGTCAGACACCTCTTCAACGCACTCAGCTTCAACTGTGGAGCGGCTGGACTTTGTCCACAGCGCAGAACATTTAGCTGTAGCACTACGGTAGACAGTTCTTGATTCTGGATTGGTTGCAAGCCGTTTTTCCACCTCATTATTTGCAACTAGATTCAAGGAATGGGCTGCACATCTCTGGTGGGGAGGCAGTACACATAGCCCAACATGTTCATCTTCATCATTAGTGCTAGCAAGCACACTGTGAAGGTCTGTAAAGTGTGCTTCCTCTTCACAAATGTTCTCATCCACTTCTTCCTCCTCCTCTTCAGACTCAATATGCTGATACTCCTTAAATGCCTTCACAAAGTTGCTACCGTTATCAGTCACACATGCCGTGATTTTATCAAGAGTAAGGCCATATTCTGAGAAAATGTCCTCATTCTCTGTAGAAATTTTGTCATAAGTATGGCGACCTCTGAATCGTCTGCAAGCTATCGCTGCCTTCCTCCGTTTCAAACTTTCTTTGTCGATCCAGTGCACTGTGACCCCAAGGTAACTTCTGTTATTTGCACTCCAAAGATCAGTGGTGGTGGACACATGGTTCTGTTCTTCAATGGTCTTTTGAGCTCCCTTGCCATGACTGTGTATGCCTTATCCAAATCTTTGAGAAGGTTTTTCTGCTTTGAAGTGCACGCTGAAAATATAACTGTGATGTTTTTCATATCTTTATCCTTTACAAACGTAAAATAATGGGCGAATGCCCATCTACAGAATGTGCTATCTGATGTCAGCAGTGGTAAACCAGCTTAGGCTTCTCCTTGCTCGCTCATCTCAGCTCTTGTTGTTGTAGTGCCGGAAGTTCGATAATTTTGCGCGGGCGGATGTTTCTCCTCTGTCGATTTAGCGAATGAATCCGATGACATACCCGAAGTGGTGTTTGGCTTGCATGTTGATACTTCGTTGCTAGTAGCAGAAGCTTAGTTTATTTGAACATTTGAAGTAGATTTTAAAAACATTTTTAACCAAAAAAGTAACTCATTGTAACGAGTGTTTTTGAAAATAGTACAGAGTAAAATATTACCATTTTCCCCCTGTAATGCCTTACATTACCACATTACAGCAAAAAGCAATGCATTACAGTAATGAGTTACTTTTATAATGCATTACTCCCAACACTGCCTATTAGTAACCTCTAAACTTTATAGTCACTTTAAGTACTTGTTACTTTTTGTTGAATTTACAGTAATTTACATGCTTTGATAATAGTAGCTGTATTTAGGTTTTTAGGTATTTCCCCTCTCAATTGGGTCAATGTGACTAGTTTAGTGATAAAATGCTGTAAAGTTACTAGAATGCTATGATACAAGGGATCCTCACATTTGAGCATTTTGCCACAGAACTCAAACTGCTGACAGTCCTTAGGTAACCTGTGAGGAACACAGGACTCACTGGCTTGCCCCCAGTGAAGAAACTTATCTACAGCATGTCCCTCTTTTACTATGTGCTGGTCCAGTGGAAAAGGTGTATAATCTTGCTACAGCTTGCTTTTTGCACATACTTAACACAAGGCCTATCACACTTAAGCGAGAATTCACCTCTCTAGTACCTGCTGACTTCTTATTGTGGTGCAGTCAGAGGTTTGACACACTCACATTTGTACTCACACACCTGTGTTTGTGCACATCCACAAATATGAACATGTCTACATTCATATTTGAGACAGGGACACAATGCAGGCTTAGGTTTACACCGCAGAGCCCTAGATATATCCATTTTGCACAGAAAGGGAACTGCACTCTTGCAGATGTGCTCTATTTGTGGCTTGGTTTGTGATTTGATCATGCAGATTTCTGATGTCGTATTTGAACACAAGCACCAGCTGATGCTTATCTTCATCTGGTGGTTTTCTATCTTTGAATCAGGCTTTTCTTTTTTCTTTCTTGCTTTTCTTTTACATTTATAAATTTTTTACTTTCACATCTGCGATTGGTGAGTTTAACGAATGCTCCTCAGCTGGATGTTTTAAATGTTTTCCAAGATCACAGACCTCAGGCATCGACTGGCCGAATCACAGAAAACTGTGGTGGAGCTGGAGGCTGAGCGAGAGCAGAGGCAGCGCGACTACGACAAAAAGCTACTGCTGGCTAAGTCCAAGATTGAAAATGTGCAGGTGAGAAAAGACCCTGGAAGAAAGGTAGGATCATTACAGAGAAATACAGGAAGGGAAGGAGTCTTAACAGATCTTAAGATGCCTTCTTGGGTTTGTTTAATTCAGGGAGAGAAAGAGTGTTTAAACTCAGAGACCACTGAACTGAAGCAGAAGATTCGCTACCTGCAGGATCAGCTGCTGCCCCTTAGCAAACAGAGGGAGTATCAGGAGAAAGAGATCCAGCGCTTAAACAGGGTGGGTGTGAGGAAGGTGTTAAAAGAAGAATGAACCCGTTCCTTCTGTCAGTGTGACATCTAACTTGTGTTTCTTCAGGCCTTAGAGGAAGCCTTAAACCTACACACCCCTTCATCCTCCCAACAACCTCCTGGCCAGGGGAACTTTGCAGATGCAACCAATAACCTTAGAAAACAGGAACTTCTCACTCAAATCGCTGTGCTAAAAGAACAGGCAAGTTATCCAACTAAACATAAAAAATTTTTAAAGTTTTAATACATGTGCTGTTCTGTAACTTCATTTTGTTTGTTACTTCAGGTAAAAATCTTCGAGGAGGATTTTAGAAAAGAACGCAGCGACAGGGAGCGAATGAATGAGGAGAAGGAGGATTTGAGGAGGCAAGTTGAGAGACTTCAGGGCCAGATTACCAATTTGACAAATCAGGTAATTTCTGAAATTTTATTTACACAAACGAGATGGGTTTCGTTTTGTGTGCTAGAACTGAACAATGAAAAAAAGTAAGATTTAGTTTTTCTTGTCATTTATTCTTTTGTATTTTTGGTTTAGCTGCATCAGGCACAGAACGAGTGTCAGAGAGAACGCACGGAGAGATGTAAGCTGGAGAGACTACAGATGCAGCATCACAAACAGGTACTGGCTGCAGCTACGGCTTCATGTTGTATACAGAATGCATCAGAAGCAAAAAGAATAGGATGTTTTCATTCAACCTGATAGGTCAACACTGAGTGTTGTACACCCCCTGGTGGTGGAACGCGGGTTTAGTTAGATTTGTGTATTCAAGTTGATTATTGTCGGAGAGATGGCTGTCCAACGGAGATGAATCTGCTGTGCAAAGCTGAAAGGCAATTTTGAATGAAGACTGGTCACCATGGTGTCATTCACAGCATTATCATGCTAAAATGATGTGTCAGACTCTGAAAATAAACCCGGTCTTAACCTGCAACCCAGGTTCAACACTTTATTTGTATTTAACCCTCCCACTGTCCTATTGGGTGACCCCGCCAGGAAAGTTGACCACTGAGCAGGGTTGATGGTTTATCCCTTTTTTAAACAACACAATGAAAATTTCAGCATTTATTCTACAGTCTGAACTAAAAATACTTTTTGTTGTCTGGATTTAATTTTTTTTTATCAGACTGAATTACAATAAACTCAAAAACCAGAATACTAGCGGTACTAATTAGGAGAGGCAACTAGGGCTGCCACAAATGATTATTTTAATAGTCAGCTCATCACCAGTTTTTTGGCGAGAAGTTGACAAATCGTGTCATGCCTAAGGTATAGCTTATTGCATCAGGATGCAGCTGCTCAATTATACCCATCATTAAAGTTGAATAATGAATAATGTACAAGTGTGCCTTAGACTGCCCACAATAAAAGGCCACCCTGAAATGTGCTGTTTGATCAAACAGTACAGTGCCACAGACAGGGTTTCCCCCAGCGCTTTATAAGCCTCCGACGGCCGAATCCGCCAGCCTTAACTCATTTTCTGGGGGAAACCCTGCACAGATGTTCTCAACGTTTTGAGGGAGCATGCAATTGGCATGCTTCTACAGTCATGTCTACCAGTGTTGTTGCCCATTAAATGAATGTTCATGTCTCTACCATAAGCTGTCTCCAAAGGCGTTTCAGAGAATTTGGCAGTAGATCCATCTGGCCTCACAACCGCAGACCACGTGTGACCACACCAGCCCAGGACCTTCACATCCACCATGTTCCCCTCCAGGATCACCTGAGACCAGCCATCTGGACAGCTGCAGCAACAATCAGTTTGCATAACCAGAGAATTTCTGCACAAACTGTCAGAAACCGTCTCAGGGAAGCTCATCTGCATGCTCGTCATCCTCATCGGGGACTGGACCTGCAATCTGTTGTCGTCACCGACTTGAGCGGCGTTGGCGTGTGAACGTTCTTTTCACACTATGACTGAAATGCGACATCAAACTTTTTCCAGTGTGAATGCTCCGTGGCGCCAAAGTGACCCGCATGCACAGAAGACAAGAAGTCAGACTCAGTGGAGCCGAAACCAGGAGCGGTGGAGTTGCAATGTGTAACGATTAAATTTACATATTATTTAATGAACCATAAGACATGAGAGAAAATAGTAAATAATAATAGAAAATATAAAATCAATCTTATGGATCTTTGGGTACTTTTAACCTGAAGATTGGAACTTTTTATTGCAGGGATCATGTAACAACTTCGTATTAACTCAGAGACGAAAGAGAGTCAAGTTTTAAAAGTTTAAAGATTTATTACTAAACAAATTAAAACTAGACTAAAGCCGGGCGTACACTGTGCGACTTTTTCACTTGTAGCACTCGGCTTCAGCTCAAACTGTACGACTTCCGCGCAGGGCAGATCTCACGAGTCATGTGCTCACACTGCACGACCCAGTTCTCGGATGCAACCTGACTGCTCACACTGTACGTCTGGTAGCAACACGTCGGCCCTAAAAATATGCTAAAAATAGCAGTTTTTACACAACACGCCAGACTTTTATTTTATTTTATTTTATTTATCTCAAACCATCAAAAACATCAAATTGCATATGCACTCCCCCATATTCCTGGTGCATAAAAAATTTTAAAATGTGAAATACGATAAACATATGCTGTTGAATGAAACAATACAAAACATAACATACATACTTTCTTGTCTTGTTTTGCCTGTTGTCCTTCAGGAGTGCTGCAGGAGGACACACAGGGATTTATGGGGGTTGGATGAGGAAAACGAAATAAAGAAAGTAAATCTGTGTTTTGTGATCAGTTTAATTTGACATGAACACGACAAACACGCTTTCTTGACAATCTTTGTGAGTAAAAAAACGTGTAGAAACAAAAACAAACAACGTGTGTTATTAGGGAAATAGCGGGCGAGCGGTGTTGATGCATGATTGCGAATGCGCCGTGAGCGGTTCTGATACTTTTTGGGTCGCAGCGCCGCTTCAACAGTGCGATACCCTCACGAGGGACGAGCGAAATATTAAACACGCCAGAAGTCCGTGCGAGCTTACGATTGCTGATCGGTAGCTGGTCACGTGGTGTTAATCGCCTCTCGTAACCCCCTGTACACCACACGACGCTCGGCGCAAAACTCGCCCCGATCTTGTGGATTCTCGCACGAGTGGAAAATCGGCTCAAAAAAGTGAAAAAGTCGCACAGTGTACGCCCGGCTTTACTTAAACAATAAATGTATGATGTAACTAAGGTGAAGTGAGACGGAGAATGGTGTAGTGTGTAATGTTGTTCAGAACCAGCAAATCCGTAGAAACGATTAGTTCTGATGGGAGTGAAGATGATGTTTTCGCGCTAAGCTTTGATTTGGAGATTCATAACACACAATGAGACGCCATTCTGTCGGTCTACGTACCCTTGGCAGATGTCCCCGTCTAGATTAGGAGGTGTAGAGGTCCAGCTTGGACCTTTCTGGAGCCAACGCCTGTAGAACAGCCGTGGCCGCCGACCAGTCCTGTCTTTGAGATACTCCCAGGTCACGACAGTTTATTGGCATCTAGCGAGACCCAAAACGGGGTCGTGATGGTTCAGTTTTTATTCTGAAAGGAACCGTTGCTTGGTTGGTAAAGTGCAACAGATTTTATCCAGCTTGTCGTTGGTTCTTTCGGCTGAAGAGGAAAGTTACGGATTGGCCACTCCGACAACTTCTCTAGAAAGCTTTGAACTGCAGTTAAAGATGATGTGGGCATAGTTTTATACTTCGGATGTTTTGGTTTATGGTCGAATGAAAAGAGGACAGATTTACCAAGCACCACCAAAACCACGCCTCCGTCAGATCTGGAAGATTCTGATTGGATCAGTAAAAGCAACGTGTCATGTGGCTTAACCTTATGTGTAATCAGTCTCTAGTGGAAACATTAAAAGTTATATTACTTATTGTATTCTATAGGATTATAATATGAAGTAATTAATATTTTCATTTCACAAATTGGTTCACATTTTATTATTGGCTAACACTTTGTTTGATTAGCTTCTTAAAAATAGAGTTCTTTGATTTATTAAAAAGAAAGAGTCCTTTGTCTTCATTCTTCTCTTGGGCTGGAAAGGAAAACAGTTTAGAAGCAAATGCATGAGACCTTGAGGCAATATCTCATGCAGATTAGTTCTTGCTGAGGAGAGGGGGAAATGACTTTTAGGTGGAAAACCGTCATTTCATTCCGTTACAGATGTAATCCTGATCCTCTGGATAAACTGTCAGTGGAAACAGTTTTAAAAACTGTAAACAGTTTTACTCCTTGTTTCTGCCGTCTCTCCGAAATATTATTCACCGAAAATGTTCCAGTATTAATTCATTCATGGAGAATCCCCCTCTCACAGAGGACCCCCCCCCCCCCCCCCTCTCGGAGACCTGTGAGACACTTCACTTCAGCAGCACCTCTAGCTCGCGTTTACATTATTTCTTGTATTTTTAATTCCTAAACCTAAAACAGGAAGTTCAGTCTCCTGAACCCTTCTGTCAGCGCTTCTCCTCAGGAACATCCAGACAATGTTCGTCCCTGTTGACTCAGTGACGTGGGAGACAGATTTAATGCGACGTGACTGTTCAGACTGCACTCGCTTTCAAAAACATCAGATATATGTCGGAATCAGTACCACATATTCAAGTGACACGGGGCGCATTTAAATAAATCGGATCTGTGCGTTTAGACTGTCTTAAAAAAATCAGATGCGGCTCACATGTAGGGAACAAAGCAGATTTAATGCGCTTTTGCCTGCAGTGTGAACGTAGCCTGAGGCACACTTGTACCTTATTCATGCTGTCTAATCAGCTGTTTTATGCCACACCTGTGAGGTGGGATGGAATAGCTTGGTAAAGGAAAAGTGCTCAGTAACACACATGCAGACAGTTTTCAGAACAATTTTTGAGAGTCGTGGGTGTTTTGTGTATGTAGACACATTTTCAAAAGTTTGATTTCAGCTCATGATACATGGGCGCAAAAACAAAAGTGTTGCGTTTATATTTTTGTTCATTGTATGTTAAAATCAATTTAAAGAAAATTGGGAGGAAGTTTAACTTTTGAGTTAGAAGGTTTTTATTTTATTTTATTTATCTGCTCTTCCCCAAAAAACAATGGACATAAGGAGTTAATAAAAGTCTAAATGAACAGTAGTGGAAGGGTTGGTTAGCTGGTTAGTCAATGAGATCCATCAGCTAGATAGGCTATCATTAAATTCTATTTCAGCCCACAGCAACCTGCTGGTGGTGTTATCACCAAATCTAAAATAAACATCCCAACGTTTTATTGGACAGAACAACACCCCCCATCATCACGTAGATGATTCACCCTTGACCTGTTTTCATGTCTGTATTTCCATCAATGTAAGCTGCAGCTCATGTTAATAAAGGAGATCAGTGTTTGGTGCAGAATGACTTGTAAAACTATAGTTTTTAATTAAAAAATAAAAGAAGAAGGCAGATTTAACCGATTGGTCGTTAACACTTTATAATAATGTTTAGTTATTAAAATTTATAAGTGTTTGGTAAGTCATTTACAGATAAAATGCAAGGTGTTAGATAATGATGTACAAATGATTGATAAATGCTTATAACATTTACAAATACATTTTTAAGTGTTTAGTATGTCATTAACATATCATTTATAAGGTATTAGG